GCAGTTTGGTGATTGATTGGGGGATCAGAGGGGATTTTCGCGTTTTTTGGGTTGAGATTTTGATTACTGGAGAATTTTTTGCGAATTAGGGAGAGGGGGGTGGAGGGAATTACTGTGGGAAGTTATTTGCAGGACATTTTGGAAATTGCGGGAAGGAATTGTAATGTTTTTGGGGAGAATGAAACGTCTTGGATGATGGGCCAGCATTTGTTTTTAGTTAGTGGGGAGGATTAAGAGAGATTTTCTCAGTAGTTTTCGAATATAACTGAATTACGATGGAAAGGAGTAAATTCTAAAGGAAAAGGACAGAGGATTATCTGCGTCTGGCAACATCACAATCCAATCGTGAAGGATGATTAAACCAAATAAAGAAAAATTTCTTGGTAATTGTTTATTTCGAGTTTTGAGGGGTTTTGCTGAGTTGCATTTGCTGAGAGACGCTAATATATATATATATATATGGACATCGCGTGGAATGATTCGAGGGGTCATGAAATGTGGAGGTATCATGAAATTTCCACATTTGATTTTCGGCCTCCCCTCGGGTCGGGCAGTTAATTAATATAATTGTTATGTGTAGAGGGTGATAATTTATTTGGTGTCCGGCCGGGAGGGCTTGTGGAGCAATGTGTTAATTGATTTGGGGTGTCGAAAACGATTTGTTGCATTTTTCCGTTTAGGATATCGAATGTTATGGAATCAGTTTGGCAATAAGCGATTTCGCGGAAAATATGATATGCGCATAATTGATATAGTTCTGTTGTATAGATGTGCTCCGTTATTTGGAGTTTGAGAGGCTCGGGGTTTGCTGAGTTGTCGGCGCTGAAGGGCTCTATTTGCGATAGGGGAGCGGAGGGAAATTGCAGAGGTACGGTTTTTTCGTGGTGCAATGTCCTGATTGATTGGGGGGATCAGGGCAGATTTTCCTCGAGTCTTTCAATTTATAAGATTCTCAACGTCTTGTTGAATGCGAAATTATGTGAATAATAGTTTTAGGGAGAAATTTCCAGGGATTTCTTTTTAAAGAAACTTTGGGGTGAGATTTTTTGTAGAATCTATTGGTTGCGAGGCAGAAACAACATTAACATCCTAGATCCCATTAATATATTAGAGTTATATTAATGGATAATGCGGAAAGCATCCTCCTCAGGGTCAAATTTATTTATCTACAATAATCAAGAAAATACAATATCAAAAATAAATAACCATTTCCGTTGCATCTTTTAATCCATAAGGTTTTCACGCTGTTGTTACATTTGGAATTGTGCCGCAATGAGTTGTGTCAAAAGAAAATATCTAGAGGTCTTTGTTGTATTGAATTTAATGATCTCCAAAGAAAATCCTCTTAAAATGTTTCCAACAATGGCTCGTTTGCGAAGTAAAATGCGAACTCAACAAAAATGGGAGATTGGGTCTGTCGGGTTTAATTAATAAATTTCCGAATTCTTCACTTTTATTTGTGATTGTACCCAACTAATTACATAATGCCGGGTTTTGTAATTAATTTTTCAAGAAATAGTACTAGATGATGAATTTTTTGATGACTTTTCTTATTTCCCGCGGTTATTAGGAGCATCTGATAATATAAGTTGCTACTTGTTATTTTTTAATTCGAACGGACTGAGATTACTGAGTTGTAGCAATTAAAAATGCTAATTGTGATAAACGGGAAGATAAGTTCAAAGGTATGATGTCTTGTACAGTGCAATTTTCTATTTGATTGGGTAAATCGAGAAACATTTCGCATACGTCTTTTAATCGATAAGATTTTCAAGCTTTTGTTACATTTGAAATTCTGCCCGCAATGAGTTGTTTCAAAAGAAAATATCTAGAGGTCTTTGTTGTATTGAATTTAATGATCTCCAAAGAAAATCCTCTTAAAATGTTTCCAACAATGGCTCGTTTGTGAAGTAAAATGCGAACTCAACAAAATGGGAGATTGGATCTGCTAGGTTTAATTAAAAATTCCACAATTCTCCACTTTTATTTGTCATTTCATTCAAGTGATTACATCATTCCTGGTTTTGTAATGAACTTTTCAAGAGATAACACTGGATTGCACATTTTTTTATGACATTTTTTATTCTCCGTGGCTATTAAGTGTTTCTGATGATATAATTTAGCAATTGTTTTTTTCATCACACTGTCGGTTTACGCACTGAGAGAAATTTCAATGGTAATTTCACGTACAAGGAAATTGTCAAAAAAATAATAGTTACGGTAACAATAAACGTTGTAGATTCAACTATTACATTAAAGCGAAAATTACATCATAATGTTGATGACACTATTTGACATAGTAAATCGAACGATGAATCCTAGTTTAATCTACAAAATTTATTGTCACTGTAAATATAATTTCTTTGGCAATTCCCTGGTAGTGAAAATTACCATTGAAATTTTTCTCAGTGCGGTTACTTCGTGTCCGTCAAACTCCCTTTACGGACATTGTGAATAAAAATTATGTTCGTCACTCGGCCAAACACAATTTTTCTGACTCGTGTGATTGCATTCCTCGGCGTCACCTCGGTTTGTTACCCTCACACTCGTCAGAAAAGTTTTTCGGCCTTGTGACGAAAATAGCTATTTTTTAATTTAAAGGGACTGAAAATGAAGATGATTCCAAAGATGTGTTTGCAAACCATAAGATTTTCAAGCTCTTGTTACATTTGAAATAACCCCTGCAATGAGTTATTTCTGAAAAAATATCCAAAGCTATTATTTGCACCGAATTGAATGATCTCCGAAGAAAATCCCCTTACACCGTTCTCTAGAATTGTTCGTTAGCGAAGTAAAATGTGAACTCAACAGAAATCAGAGATTGGATCTGTCACGTTTAATGAATAAATTCTAGAATTCTTCTCTGTTGTTTGTTATTTTACGCGAGTCATTACGTCATTCCTGCTTTTGTAATGAATTTCTCAAGAAATGACAGTGGATTCTGCATTTTTTATGACCTTTTCTATTGTCCACGGTTATTAAATGTATCTGATAATATAATTTACTACTTATTTTATTTTAATTTGAAGGGACTGAGATTGCTGAGCTGCGGTAATTGAGCACTCTAATTGCATTGAAGAGCAAAATAATTCCAAAGACGTGGTCTTTCAAACCATAATATTTTCAAGTTTTTGTTACACTTGAAATGATAGAGATCATTTTCGAAATGAGATATTTTCGAAATGAGTTACATCAAAAGGTATTCTTTGTACCGAATTTAATAATCTCCAAAGAAAATCCTCTTAAAACGTTCTCCACAATTGTTCGTTTGCGAAGTAAAATGTGAACTCAACAGAAATCGGAGATTGGATCTGTCAGGTTTAATGAATAAATTCTAGAATTCTCTTTTGTTTGTTATTTGATGCGAGTGATTACGTCATTCCTGCTTTTGTGATGAATTTCTCAAGAAATAACACTGGATTCTGGATTTTTTAATGACCTTTTTCATTTCCCGCGGTTATTAAGTGTATCTGATAATATAATCTTGTACTTGTTTTTTTTTAATTTGAAGGGACAAAACAAAAAGGAAAATAATTCCAAAGATGTGGTTTTTTAAACTATACGATTTTCAAGCGCTTGTTGCATTTGAAATTATCCCCGCAATGAGTTATCAAAAGCTATTCTTTGTACTGCATTTAATGATCTCCAAAGAAAATTCGCTCAAAGCGAAATAAAATACCAACTCAACCAAAATGGGAGATTGAATCTGTCAGGTTTAATGAATAATTTACTGAATTTTTCATCTGTAATGGTTACTTTATTCGAGTGATTACGTCATTCCTGGCTTTATAATAAAATTTTCCAGAAATAATATTGGATTATGAATTTTTTATGACCTTTTTATTTCCTCCAGTTCAATTGCGCATGCTAATTGTATTTAAGAGACAGATAATTCCAAAGACGTGGTCTTTTAAACCACAAGATTCTCAAGCTCTTGTTACATTTGAAATTATCCCTGCAATGAGTTATCAAAAGGTTTTCTTTGTATCTAATCCCAAAAGAAAATCCTCTCAAAACGTTCCGCACAATGGCTCGTTTGCGGAATAAAATGTGAAGTCAACAGAAATGGGAGATTGGATCAGTCAGGTTTAATGAATAAATTACAGAATTCTTCTCTTTTGTTTGTTATTTTAAGCAAGTGATTACGTTATTCCTAGTTTTGTAGTTAACTTCTCCAGAAATAATACTGCATTACGCATTTTTTGACGACCTTTTTTATTTACCGCGGTTATTAAGTGCATCTGATAATACAATTTAGCAGTTGTTTTTTTTATTCGAAGGGACTGACTTTGCTGAGATGCGGCAATTTGGTATGCTAATTATATTAAAGAGACAGATGATTCCAAAGACGTGGTCTTTTAAACAACAAGATTTTCAAGCTCTTGTTACATTTGAAGTTATCCCTGCGATGAGTTATCAAAAGGTTTTCTATGTATCGTATTCCAAAAGAAAATTCTTTCAAAGCGTTCCCTACAATGGCTCGTTTGCGAAATAAAATGGGAACTCAGCAGAAAGGGGAGCTTGGATCAGTCAGGTTTAATAAATAAATTACAGAATTCTTCACTTTTATTTGTTACTTTATTCGAGCGATTATCTTATTCCTAGTTTTGTAATGAGCTTTTCAAGAAATAATACTGGATTATGGATTTTTTTGATGACCTTTCTTATTTTCCGCGGTTATTAAGTGTATCTGATGGAGACTAGAGCCGTCTGACTATTATCGGGGTGTTCCACTTGAGGCCCGAACGGCTCCTAAACAGCCAGGCGCCGAGATACTATCAGCTTATCCCCCCATTGTTTGCCTTGTACTTATTTCTCACGAATGGTTAAAAAGAGCGGGGAGAAATTTCATTATATTTTTTTTTCCAAGTTTTATTTTTCAGGGAGAAGTGTGTTTTTGTGATTGATGCAGGAGATATTGATTCGTTGTTGTTCATTAATTAATCAGTTCACTTCGATCTCTCGGGCCGATTGAAAGGCAGCTACGAGGGAGTTCAGTTGGACTGATTCACTGGTGCCAGCTACAGTGTGTTTCTCGATAGCGCCCACCTTGATCACCAGGTCGATCATGATGTCATCAGGGAATTCAACTGGGGGGGAATTGTCATTTGATTAGAATGAGAAATGGAGGGTTTTGCTTCACATGGAAAAACTTACTTTGATTGAGGAATAGGTGGAGCTCTGTCAGGATGTCCTGGAGGGCCAGACCCTTCCTTATCTTGAGATCTTGAATTTCTAGGTTTTGTCGTTCAGGAATTTGTTATCAAATATATCAGATGACTCTATTCATTTGCTAAATGAATCATTCTCAGTTTTGAACAATGGAATTATCGACTTGAAAAAAAACATCCAGATAACGTTCGAAAGATAGTAAACCCAGGCCTTAAGACTTAAAAATTAAGGGTTACAAGGATCATGAGGGTCAAAATAAGGGTTACGAGGGCTGTAAGCAGGATCAGATTAGGGATTTAAATAAGTAAGACACCCTGTGCTCATATCTAATAAAATGCTGAAAAACAGATGTTCTTTCACGTTTAATTTTCCCACTAAGGAATTAATTAGAAAGGATACTATTATATGCTGACGTGTAAGACTCGTTAAGCAGCCAGTTCATTATGTTTTTTATGTCGATGGGGAGAGGGTGGCCCACGCAATTATAGACATTTTCCTCGGTCACTGAACCGTACGCTAGCCAGGTACTTTGAAGAACGTTCAGGACTTTTCGCATGTCACCACCACTGAGGGTCATCAAAGCTTGTTTTCCATCCTCAGTTACTTTTAAACTAAAGATTTAAAAAAATTAATAAAACAGTTTTGCAATTTTCGGGGTTGGATAGGTGATTTATCTTACTTTTCTTTTTCGATGACGTGTTCGAGCCTCGGCATTATCTGATCAGACGACAATGGACCGAATCTGAACTTTGTGCACCTCGACTGGAGTGCAGGAATGATTTTACTGAGGTAATTACAGATTATACAGAATCTCACGTTATCTGTGTATTTTTCCATGACTGAAAACGATGGAAATCATTGAATCACGAATATCGCGTGTTTAAATCGAAAGGGACTTCTGTGCGATTTTAAAATTTTGTGTGTCAAGCCTGCTTGCAACAGGCTTGAATAAATTGAAAGCGCACTGATGTATTATTCGCGAGTCCATTCACTTCTAGGGAATGTTTCGGTGGAAAAATCTGAACACGGGGAGGGAAAAAATATTTTCTCCAACAAGTCTTGTTTAAAAAATTATTAAAAAAAGAAGATTTAGTGCTCACCATTTAAAGAATGTCCTGAGATGAAAAAGTTTTATCGCAAAAATGGATTTAATTATTCCAGAGAATTTTTATTCTCCGTGCAAGCAATAAATGTCGTTTCTAAAACTATTTAATTGTTCTTCGTTATGTATTTTGCTGCCGAAGAATGTTTGTTTTATGCGAAAAAAGGGGACAGTCGTTTTTCGAATCGACTATTCACTAATCACAGATAAGAAATTAATTCGTAAATAAAACAGAAATGATTTAACTTGAGGACAAAATATTGCGTAATAAATATCCATCTATGGGAGATATTTGCATCCTGAAAAGGCACTCTTGAGTCAAACATTCCGCTGTTGTTGAAAGCACAGCGATTATCGATGTGTGAGACTTGAAAATTGAGGTAAAAGTTCTTTTTTAGTCATTTTTAACGTGCGATTTTTTTGAGCGAGAGAACTTATTCGTTTTCTCTCAGTGTAGGAGAAATGTTATATGCGCATGACAGAAATAATGTTCTTGACGTTCAGTCAACTTTTTTCTCTTTCTCCATTCACTCATTCAAATTGACAGCCTCAATTTTCTCTTTCATTTCAACAAATTACGTACGTTTTTGTACAAAAACGTTGTGACGTTTTGGAACGTTACACGTCGTACGTGAGTTACCAGAGGTCAGGTACCTACTTTTAATATCGTTAATGATAGAATGCCATCCAGACTAGATTTTTTAAATCTAATCTTTAATAAGAGTAATCTATTTTTAATCTTCAATGATGCATTGAAATTCCTTGATTTATTTACTGGAAAAACTTTAATAATGATGTGCTTCGAAAAAAATACATATGAATATACGACTCTACGATATTAGCTGCCTGGGAAAGAGCGCTATTTTGGCTCTATTTTTGTATCGATAACGCAGTGCCAAAGCAAACAGACAGAAATTTAGAATAAAAAAGTAAGCTGATTATTTTGAAAATATCATTACTTACTTCTCCTGAGAGCATTTTGAGCATCATTCGTCATAGCGTCAGCTTCATCCAGAATAATCAGCTTGAACCCTGATCTGTACATTGTTCCAGTGCTTGCAAAACTCAGGATCTGACCCCTGACAATCCCAATCCCTCTGTCGTCTGAAGCATTCAATTCCAGCACCTGAAAATCCCCACAAAACTCGTATGAAAAACACTCTAAAAAATCAAAGTTACATCGTGTTAAACGTGGAATTAGAATCCTTCTCGTCAGTTATCTTTTCTCTAGAACCCACCGAATACTCAGGGAATCAGTGAAAAATAATAAAAGAAGAGGGATATCGAACCATTGACTGAAACTGAGCTGGAGTGTAGAGTTTCCTGGCACAAGCAAGAATCGTACTGGTTTTCCCTGTACCTGGGGGTCCATAGAGCAGCAAATGTGGCAGTTGATCCTCATCGATGAATTTATTAACTAAAATTTAAAATAACCTATTCACCAATCTCTTCACAAGGAGAAATTTAATCTCTACTCACTCGTCTTTATGATGTCCTCGTGTGATATTAAATCATTGAGAGTAGCAGGCCGGTACTTCTCCACCCTTCAACAGGAGTAAACAATAATCCTAACCTCAAACCACACGAATTTCGGAGTAGATACTCACCAAGGTAAATTGGATCGTTTCTCAGACATTACTGACAACAATTATCACTAACAGAACGCCTCAAATACTGACAAGCTGTTCCCTTTGTTAATCAATGTATTTCCAATATTAAAACAATTGAGAACTGCGAGACGAGAAGTCGAGACGAGGCGAGACGAAAACTAATAAATTCCCGCTAAAACGCACAACAGCATCTCGGGAGGGTTGGGGGGG